CACACACCGGCAGAGTTCAGACGGCTGTCAAATCCAATGCATTCCTGAGCGCTCCGACACACACAGGCTGAACGGTGGATGAATGCGGGGAAATTTAGCTGAAACGTGAGGACAAAAGCCAGGGGACATTTAAGAGGGTTTAACTCCGCAGAACCCTGGGAATAAGAGAGGAAACACACACACACACACACACACACACACACACACACACAGCCTGAGCGAACATACATCCCGACGCACACATGTACAGCTGCGGCTCCAGCAGGCTGTTAGAGGCTGGAGCAGAGGGGAATTCCCAGGGAGGAGACACTGAAAACACACACTGCACCTCTGCCTTCACACACACACACACACACACACACACACACACACTGCGGTGTACCAGTTACTGCACTGGTGAACCAGTGCCTTCCAGCGCGCACCACTGCTCTTCCTTTTTTTAAGCTGTAGAAATTTCCTAAGAATGACAGCCCTCCGCGGCCTGCGTGGGAAAAAACACGAAACAGCAAAAGACTCAAAACACAGAAAAAAACACTAAATTTTAATGTTTTAACAAACAGAATCACAAAAACGAAAATTATTTAAAAAACTAACACAAAAAAGTAAATAATCCAAAACAAGAAAAAATAACGCAACCGCTTTTAGCATTTTAATCATATTTAGTTACTTTACCACAATTGTTTTATGTCCTGCTAACAGGAAACAATTAAAGTAAATAAATATGATTAAAATGCTAAAAAAAAAAAAAAAATTTTTTTTCAGTGTAAAACCTAAACGGCGCTTTTTCTTCAGCGAAGTCAGGTTCATCAGGTGTTTGTGGTTTGGACAGAGAGAAGCTGTCCTCCTCCTCCTGCTCCTCCTGCTGCTCCTCCTGCTCCTGCTGCTCCTCCTGCTGCTCCTCCTGCTCCTGCTGCTCCTCCTGCTCCTCCTGCTGCTCCTCCTGCTCCTGCTGCTCCTCCTGCTCCTCCTCCTGCTGCAGGGTTGAGCTGAAATCATGGTGACTCAGATCAGAAGAGATAGAAACCATTTTAAATCCCCCTGATGCTGAGAAACCAGAGGGGAAACTATGGGTTTGTCCCCAGCATCTGCCCCTTTTGCTCTCTGAAGGATTTCTGGTGTTTTTCTTCTTTGAAAAATTTGTCATCAAATATTTTTTGCATTTATTTAATCACCTCTTAAATAGACGATAAATATCCAGCTTGAATATGATCAATTTAGAAGCAGTTAGATTTCATTTAAATATTATAATTTCTGCAGATTTTTTCTTTTTTCAGATTTTTTTTTTCTTCTTTTTATTCTGAATTGTTTGGAACATCAAATAGATCAATTTGCACCAAACTGGTCCAGCAGTGAAACGCAACGCAGCGACATAAAAGAGCAAATAGGCCTAAATCAACATTATGTATCAAATACATTTTGCAAATAAAGCTAAATCTCCAATAATCACAGGTAAAAAAAAATGTAAATTGCAAATAAATCTCCTGCAAAGGGTTCATTCGTTTTAAAAAGAAGAATTTAACATTAAAATAATTTCCAGGAAGTTTGCATTGAAGAAAAAAACCCATCCCAAATACCAGAAAGTGAGCTCATAACTCAGAGGCAGATAAGAAAGCGAGTGGGCACTAATTTATTCAGGGAATTTTACAATATGAAGCCACAGTCACGGTGCTGGTAATACTGTCAGAGCTTCTCCTCCTCGATCTGTACCAGGCAGCCGAGGGGTGAGGAGGGGAGGGAGGGAGGGAGGGAGGGAGGAGGGGGGAGTGAAAACATTTGTTAATTTCCCAGACCGCCTCAGCAAATCACTCTCACTCTCCAGGCTGAGAGCAGAGCAGGAGAGGAGCGAGCAGGTGAGCAGATCATCACCGGAAACTTCTTTAGCAGCGCAGCTACAATCCCTTCGCAGCTAGAATCCCTTCGCAGCTAGAATCCCATCGCAGCTAGAATCCCTTCGCAGCTAGAATCCCATCGCAGCTAGAATCCCATCGCAGCTAGAATCCCATCGCAGCTAGAATCCCATCGCAGCTAGAATCCCATCGCAGGTATTTTTTTTCCCCTCTCAGCTTCTCTCTTCAGGGTTGCTCTGTTTCTCATGTGTCACTTTTGTCTGAGGTGTGTGTGAAGAGCGGCTTGTTGTGGAAAGGAGCCTTTTCTTCACTGATGATGATGATGATGATGATGATGATGATGATGATGATGATGATGATGATGATGATGGCTGTCCTGCTGTGAGATGAAGGCTCAGGTTGTGGAGCTGATCAGATCAGAAGCTTCCTCTGATTGGACTGAATTTCTCTAATTAATGAATTAATTTGCTCCTTTTAAATTTCACCGCCTGATATTTTGCAACCTAAACTAAATTTGGATGAATTTGTTTGTGATTCTGATCTGGAGTCATTTTTCTCTGTTATTTTTTATTAGAGGTGAATAAGCTGAACTATTTATTCGCTCTTAGTTCTGATCTCTATCAAAGGAAAAACTCCTAATCTGTGAATCTCTGAATGTAAAACCATTTCTCTCTGCCTGCTGCTTTTCTTTAGGAGGACTCCTCTTCTTCTCCTCCATTTCTTCACCTTCCTTCTCGCTGAGTGTGAGCCCCCCCCCCCCTGCCCCCCAGGGGGACCGTCCCTGGAGCGTGAAGGGGGCGGCCGGCAGGCAGCGGGGGATTTCTGCGGGGCTGAGGTAGACTCTCGGTCCGCTGCCTGTGCGTGAGCTGTCCGGTGCTGCCTGTTTCTGACTGACAGTGAAACAGAGCAGGGACTGCCCCCCCCCACCATGCTGGTTTGGAGTTGAACCGACAACCTGCAGGTACAAATATTCTCTGCTAATTAATGATGAACGGAACAGAGTCAGAACTCGATCATTGCTAGAGAGAAACATGAAGTTATTTATGGAGCTTTGATTAAACTATAGAAGGTTTATTAATTTATTATTATGAGGCGAGCTGGAGGAAATTCTGCTGGTTTATTTTGATGTGAGACCCTGCGGGATGGGGGGGAGATGAAACATCTCTGACTGATGCAGAGATGTTTCATCAGAGGCGTTCAGTCCTTTTTTATGGGGGGGGGGGTCACTTGAGTCACGTGGTTAGACGGAGAACAGGTGAAGCCAATTATTGGCTCTGCCTAAGATCAGCTACAGATTCACATCATTTCTTTTTTTTGTAACCAATTTAAAAATCATTGATCTCAGGAGATAAAATTTTATTCATTAAAATAGAATTAGGAGTTAATTTATTGACTACAGATTAAAAAACTCATTTATTAGTTTTAGTGCTTAAATATCTGCTCTAATGAACAGATCTAACTGGATGATCTGGTTGAATTATAAATTGCCTTAAAGTAACACGATCTGAATTGGAGCTATAGAAATAAAATGAATAGAATTCATTTCAGCAGAGCTAAAATCAAATATAAACCTTTTAGTCCAGATCAGCTTCATCCTGTTTGATCTGACTGATGAAATAAATTCCTGCTGTTGAGTAAAAACATCCTGATGAACAATTTATTAGTTTTATCACTGAAAATGAAAAATTAACAAAGACTGAATATCTGTAGATTTCATTTTGCTCAATCACTGAATGCCTGAACAGGCAGGAAAAGCAGGCGGTCAGGAAGTCAGCGAGGAGCTGAAAGGGAGATAAAACAGCGACGGAAACTTTAACGTCCAGACGAGGAGCTGATGCTCCTGATGCTCCTGATGCTCCTGATGCTCCTGAAACGTTCTTCTGGAAATTTCCTACATTTCTACATCTAAGCTTTGAAATCTGTGAATCTTTTAAATCACCTGATTTTTCTGTAAGCTTTTAAAATCAGCACCTTTAAAGGGAGGATATAGAAAATATCAGTTACCTGTGTGTGTGTGTGTGTGTGTGTGTGTGTGTGTGTGTGTCGGGGGGGTTGGGGTCATTTAGAGGCAGAATCTAATATGAAGGTTTTTATGTTTCTATTTTTCTCTTATTTTTATTTTTTACTCCTCCTGTCCTCCTTCTGTTTTCAATCAAAAGTCATTTTTTAATTAAAGTCTTGTACAGAATTATAAAACCTTTAATTTAAAGGAAAAAAGCAGAATTAATAAAGGATAAATAAATGATTCCTGCTAAAATAATCAGCAGGATAAATTCTAACTGTTCTATTAATGATATCTGTGAAAAATAAAAATAAAAACTACTTCCTTCATCACAGTTTTTATTATCGCTGCGTCTGAACCAGGCGCCTCAGCTCAGCCAACAGAAAAGAAACGCTCGCGCTTTAATAATCAAGGCAAGCCGACGAGCAAATATTTTATAGCACTTATTTATTATTATAAAACATGGTGAATAAATTGTACAATCAGATTGTTAATTTTTGCATCATAAAATATCTACCTGAACCAAACTGAAATGGTCCATTTATCAACTTGACTGTATCTCTAATCCACTAATGAGGAAGGCAACATTTATCTTAAATTAAATACTTGAAAACAAACGCCTCTACAAACATGTCTGTGTTTATCATTTCTATTTGGGCCCATCCTCTGATGGCGA